TTTTTTTTTTTTTTTTTTTCTGGGGCCGTGGAGCGTTTGTGCCATTGCATGCAGGGTTCAGGGCGGTTAAGAGTTTGGGGATGGGGGGAGATTTCGGTTTTTTGAGGGTTCAGGTGCCCATCGCATTGCTGTCTGTTAGGGAAACCCTAAACCCTAAACCCCAAAGCGTGAGGTGTTGGAAAGACCGATGGCTGGACAACGGCCCGCGTCAACGAGAACTGGGATGCCTCTTGGCAGCCGCTACTGGAACGAAACCACGAATCGCTAGACAGAAAAGCGAAATTTGGTGTGGTGGATGGGCGGTGCCGGCGTTGTGATGGATATGCATAGCTCTGGGTTCACGTATGCAATTCCCTAAACCCTAGAAACCCTACCGGGTATGTTTCTGGCTTCGTCACCGTACGGCAGCTGTTGTCGGGCTGCACCAAGCGAAGGGTTTGGGGTTTAGGGTGTCTGGCACGGTTGAAACAAAAAATCCAGCAGTAAAGCAAACGAACATTTGGTGAGCTCGAAGTGGCCCTGGGGCAGCCAGAGCCACCTAGTCCTTGCATTTTGGTGGCGCTTTCGGGGTTTCGTGTCCATGGTTTCGGGATTTCAGGGTTGAGGTTTTTCTTCTGTGTCAGGTGCAGTACTACAACCCAGCCGACTACAAGACCTGGGTGGAAATCCAGTGGACACATCCTGTCTGGTATAACCGCCGCGGTCACCGGCTGGAGGTGAACAATCCGAGCATGGACGCTTAGATGGCACCAGTCTGCTGTGTGTTGCGAAGGTGTCGGCTCTTGCCATAAACCCCAGAATGGATGTTGTAGGAAGCCTTCAAGAAACCTTTAAGAACCCGAAGCCAGAAGTCAGAGTCAGGGGTTTAGGGTTTAGGGTTNNTTTAGGGTTCAGGGTTTAGAGATGTTTAGGGTTTGGGCGTTTAGGGTTTAGTTTAGGGGTTTGGGGTTTAGGGGTTTGGGGTTTAGGGTTTAGGGGTTTAGGGTTTAGGGTTTAGCTCGAAGCCAGAAGTCATGAGGTGACGCAGCGAGTGATGCCCGAGCAGCTCAGGAAATCCAAGGCCGGTTCCCATGCGACAGGTTTTCCCAGGTCCTGGTGTGTACTATAGGGGCCCTTTACAATTATAATAGGGTTTTGGGGTATATTATACCATACAGTAATTGTAAGAAGGAACCCCCAAAATAGTATAGGTAATTATTAAGGCCCCTAGATTAGGGTTTCTTGCAGTTCAGGGTTCCATAAGGGTCACATAGGGGCCATACTTTCATGGTTGTTAAGTTTGGGTTATATGAACAGAAGGGCGATCAAAGATGATTCAGGTTCAGGTGTTTACCGTGTCGCAAGGTCCAGGACCAAACTGTCCGCAAACCTATCCGACGCCCTCTCCAAACATTATTCTAATCGTTAACTATTAGGCCCTTATTTCAACCCTATAAACCTTGACGCTAGCCCTCGCGAAACCGTGTTCTAATCGTTCACTATTAGGCCCCTGTGTCTACCCTTCAAACCCTGACGTCTAACCCCAAATCCCGACCCAGGCGCAGACGGAACCGCAGAGGCCGCAGCTGAGCCCTC